TCTCAGAACAACTCAGTATAATAGTTCACCATCAAACTAGTCAGTGTTACCACTCATCAAGCTTTACTCAGTATAATAGTTCACCATCAAACTAGTCAGTGTTATCACTCATCAAGCTTTACCTAGTATAATAGTTCACCATCAAACTAGTCAGTGTTATCACTCATCAAGCTTTACCTAGTATAATAGTTCACCATCAAACTAGTCAGTGTTATCACTCATCAAGCTTTACTCAGTATAATAGTTCACCATCAAACTAGTCAGTGTTATCACTCATCAAGCTTTACTCAGTATAATAGTTCACCATCAAACTAGTCAGTGTTATCACTCATCAAGCTTTACTCAGTATAATAGTTCACCATCAAACTAGTCAGTGTTATCACTCATCAAGCTTTACCTAGTATAATAGTTCACCATCAAACTAGTCAGTTTCCTCATGAACTAATTGTAACAGAAGTTATATTGATTGTATTTTAATTAAAAAGTAGTAAGTTTTACTAAAAATGTACTAAAAGTCTTGATAAATCTAAGTAGTGGAAATAACTGAACTTTGCAATTCAATTAAATTCAGGCAAGAGCTGATAACATGCACAGCTGTACATGTACTAGGACTAAGCACATGTCACCTGGTATGAACTTTCATGAAAAAATGTCTTGTCTTTCTTTCAATAAAAAGAAATAATACCTCAAAAATATTACTCTACGGAAATTGTAACAGAACTTTTGACATACTGTTCAGAAAATCAAAATTTGAAATAAAAAATTTGATATTTTTCTGTGTTAATCGCCCTGTGAACAGCCAGGGTCATTTTGAGGTACAATCTCCTTGTAGTACCTGGTGGCTAGCTTAGTGAACAACATATGGGAGGCCTGTTGCATGCCATTCAGGGGAAAAAGGACGTCTCCAAGGATCTGAATGACTGAGCTATTGCAACCCTTTTTCTAAACTTCTGAAACATTCTGGTCTCTATATAACTGTACAAGAAAACAAGAGGCCCAAGGGGCCTTAACAGTCACATGAGGATTAAATGTCAATAATCTGGGGATTTTAAAATGTTGCAAAAATGTAACAACACTTGTGCAGGAACGTGTGTAAAATATCTGTACAAAGTTTGAATATGATCCAACCAGTGGTTCTTGAGAGGAAGTCCAAAATGTCTTAGCCAAACAGAGGCCAGGGTGGCCATCTTGGATTTTGATTCGCCCCAAAAAGTTAAAACACTTGCCAGGACCTTGTGTAGAACATTTGTATCAAGTTTCCCCTTTTTCCCCCTCCTGGGGTCCCTACTGGGGCCACGCCCTTTTTCTTCATAATTTCATATGTCCTTCACTAAGGGATGCTTTCTACCAAATTTGGTTGATATCGGTCAAAGCAGAATTTTCTAACCTTTTGAGCGCCCCCTAGAGGGGCCGTTTTTGACCCGATTTTTTTCCATTCGCAAACTTTGTAGACCATGCCATAAGGACCCTAAATATCAAATATGAACTTAATTTGACTGTTGGTTCATGAAAAGAAGATTTTTAAAGATTTATCTCATTTTACCCCCCTTTTCCCCCTCCTGGGGCCCCTTTTCGGGCCATACCCTTTTTCTTCGCAAACTTGAAGCGGCTTCCCATGGGGATGCTTTGTGCCAAGTTTGGTCAAAATCCATTCAGTGGTTCTTGAGAAGAATGTCGAATATGTGAAAAATTAACGACGCACGACGACAGACAAATCATGATGGTAATAGGTCACCATGAGCCTTTGGCTCAGGCGACCTAAAAACACAGAATAAATTATATTGCAACGAGTTATAGGTTTGTCTCTTTTATTTTTGGCATAAATTGATCAGACTAAAACTAGTATACTTATTCATTAGATTAAGTGTAAACTTGTCCACTTTCATTTTGTGTAAACTTGTCCACTTTTCATTTTATATACAAGTATAATATACATGCAATAAAGCTTTACAGTAGTAAACCTCAAACAAGAAACAAAAAGCAAAATAAAAAAAACACTTTTACGATATGAGGTTCATTTGATTACAACACCTGTAAAAATTTACACCTTGTTACATGTGTATAACCATAAATTTGTAAGAAAAAAATATCACACATATTGTCCAGACAATGAAGGTCCCCTCTTTCATTCTCTGACTCATTTCATGAGAACTTGACAGGTTTCATTATGATTGTAAACTTAAGTTGTGCTTTCTCAGAGTCAGTTTTATTTCCATATTTGTATGCAATGTGATACTATAATCTATCTCATTTCAGACTGTCTGTTTAGAATTTCTCCGCTTATATGCTTATAAAAAAATAGTATCATATAGTTTTCACAATGTTGAAAATTTATCCTGAAGCAATGGCAATAATGACTATTATAACAAGAGACCCATGGGCCTTAAAGGTCATCTGACATAAAACACAAGATTTCAAATTTTGAACTTATTCTACCTGGATTTAAGAAACAAGGGCACTCAGCCACCACCTTGAAAGTGGGTTAAGGTTATTCATTTCAACAAACTTCACAAACCTTCATCCCAGCATGCTAGTGGTCAAATATCATCACCCTGGGTGTTATGGTTATTCAGAGGATGCTTGAGGTAACAAACTTTGGTCAGTGCCATGTCATGATCATTTCATGCAAGTATTGACTCCATCTCACTGGTGGAACTTGAGAAGAAGTCGAAATGTGTTTTCAAGATGGCGGTCATGGCGGCCATCTTGGATTTTGGGCCAACCCGAAATTAACAAACTTTGGTCAGGATCATGTCACGATCATTTCAGGTAAGTTTCAGCTCAATGAGACATGTAGAACTTTAGAAGAAGTTGAAAATGTGTTTTCAATGTATTTTCAAAATGGCGGCCATGGCGGCCACCTTGGATTTCGGACCGACCCGAAATTAATAATCTTTGGTCAGTGCCATGTCATGATCATTTCATGCAAGTTTTGGGTCAATCGCACTGGTGGAACTTGAGAAGAAGTCAAAATGTGTTTTCAAGATGGCGGCCATCTTGGATTTTGGACCAACCCGAAATTAACAAACTTTGGTCAGGATCATGTCACCATCATTTCAGGTAAGTTTCAGCTCAATGAGACATGTAGAACTTGAGAAGAAGTTGAAAATGTTACGCCGGACGCTGGACGACGCTGGATGAATGGCAATCGCAATAAAAATCTCTTGAAAACAGAAACTTGTTTGAAGCTATACAACTGTAGTATACACATGTTTATCAATACCATAACAGTTTTTTTATATATCTATGTCTATCCAATATTGCTTCAAACATATTGTTGACCAACCAAAAATAACTTTACTTTATTATTTAAACATTGAAATAAAAATGTCATATTTCTAATGTGATAATGATTTCTTTACAATACAATTTATATGTAAATGTATTACTACTGCAGAGATCTATGATTTCTCTATTAAGTTACTTACTGTGAATGTATACATACAGATAACACCAGGTATATCTATTGGTGAAATAAAAACACTGATGATCTTCTGAAATAACTGCAGAGCAGATAAGGACCAAACTTGTACCAATGTATCATACAAAGGACACAAAGATCACAGAAGCAGATATCAAAAGGGCATAACATCGCTGAAACTTTTTCTAAATTATAAAAATAAAACTGAATGTACAATGTGTAATTTTCTAAAATAGAAAAAGTTATTAATTTAAAACTGATATAACAGATGATGTCTCAAGATGACCTAAAATTCTTAAATAACAAAAATATTCTAAATTTTAGATACTACCAGTAATATGATGATTGCCAGCGTATAAAAGCAGCATTCAGACATGAAACCTTTATTTTCTGTTGATAATTTTATCTTTGTTTGCCAATGTGCTAGTCGAGTTCTGTTGTGGTATGAACTTGAAAAGATAACAAGAGGCCCAAGGAGCCTTAACGGTCACCTGAGGAATATATGTCAATAATCTGGGGATTTTAAAATGTTGCAAAAATGTAACAACACTTGTGCAGGAATATGTGTAAAACATTTGTACAAAGTTTGAACATGATCCACCCAGTGGTTCTTGAGAGGAAGTCCAAAATGTCTTAGCCAAACAGAGGCCAGGGTGGCCATCTTGGATTTTGAATCGCCCCAAAAAGTTAAAACACTTGCCAGGACCTTGTGTAGAACATTCGTATCAAGTTTCCCCTTTTTCCCCCTCCTGGGGTCCCTATTGGGGCCACACCCTTTTTCTTCGCAAACATGAAGCAGCTTTCCATGGGGATGCTTTGTGCCAAGTTTGGTCAAAATTCATCCAATGGTTCTTGAGAAGGAGTCATTTAAAGAAGGTTTTTACATATGGCCCCTTTTACACCCCTTATGGGCCCCAAAGGGCACATAATCACTTTTTTCAACATAATTTCATATGTCCTTCACTAAGGGATGCTGTCTACCAAATTTGGTTGAAATCGGTCAAAGTTGAATTTTCGACCAGTGGAGCCATTTTTGACCCGATTTTTATTTTCATTCCCAAACTTTGTAGAACTTACCATAAGGACCCTCAATATCAAATATGAACTTAATCTGACAGTTGGTTCATGAGAAGAAGATTTTTAAAGATTTACCTAATTTTACCACCTTTATCCCCCTCCTGGGGCCCCTATTGGGGCCATGCCCTTTTTCTTTGCAAACTTAAAGTGGCTTCCCGTAGGGATGCTTTGTGCCAAGTTTGCTCAAAATCCGTTAAGTGGTTCTTGAGAAGAAGTAACAATGCATGACGCACAATGCGTGACGCACGACGACAGACAAATCATGATGGCAATAGGTCGCCATGAGCCTTCGGCTCAGGTGACCTAAAAATATAGCATGTTCCTGTCGTTCAAACGAAGAAATGCCCCTTTAATGGCTATAACACTGATGTTTAAAGAGAGAGGTTGAATATTAATCAAGGGAATGAAAGCTCATACCATGTATATGTAAGATGAATCTATTTTGAGAAACCTTATGATACATCACAGAACACATGAGTAAACAGAAAATAAAAACAAATCAGGCATGTCAACTCCTGGAGCAAACATTGTCACTTTTAAATAATATTCACTGGAAAACAGTTGTAGTTCTGCATTAAATAATTGATTTGAATATTTTGCATTACTCAAATTAATACAGCTGAATAGTTAAAGCAGTTGAGGTCACTGGTGAGAACCTGCTACATCTATGAGACTTTCTGTTTGTTCACGGTCCATATCTCTAACTCTGCAAAAGTAAAATGAGAATATAAAGGAAATGTAGATATCATTACAATAAATTTTTGAAAACGGAGAAAAAGTCTTTTTTATTTCACTTTTGAATGAATCACACAATTTATAACTACCCTCAGACAAAATACCAACATCCTCAGTCAGAAAGAGTTCCAAGTCCCAAAACATGTCCAAATTCCAGTTTATGGAGAAAAACATTTCTACAATCCCTTGTGAAAAAAATAGTACATTCCAAAACTACCCACACACCAAATATCAACATTCTAAAACATATGATTAATGATAAAATAGAACACCCACCAATCACACATGACAATATCTACCCTCACACCAAATGTCAGCATCCTAGAATGTATATTTAATGATATACTAGTCTGAAAATTTCATAACTTGTAGCAAAACTTTAACACAGCTGGATTTTTTATCCAATGAACATTCAGGATCATTTTGAAGTAGGGGGCGATTGTAGTAGTTGTTGGGTCCATTACATACTATATATCAAGAGCAATTAAGGTAATGTGTCTTAAGGACCCAATCATGTCAGCTTACAATGATACACAAGCTGCAACTGGTACAGTGCCTTGAACTATTTATGTCAGACTTTCACTTGAGGTTACACAGACCAATGCTAACAGAGACTTTGAATTGGAATAAGAATTTAAAATTCTGAGGAAGAAATTCAGCAACCTGTCTTTAAACCTGCTTGTGTATCTTCAAATTTTCATAAAAGATTGAAAATACTTTATACACGGCTCTTATTGTTCTGTATTCTATGCCACTGATTTTTTCTTAAAATGTATGTAATCCTTACCTTGGTAAAACAGGTCGCCGCCGACAAATACAGTGTAGGATCTTCTTACATCCAATCAGTACAGGATCCCAGGTTTCATAATGTGTTAAGAAAGTCACGCCAAAGAAGGCCACAAATACGGGTATGGTACCAACATAAAACATCCATGTGTAACTAACCTGGAAATCATTGATACAAACATGTTGGATTTTTGTCTCATGGCAATATGTCAATTTGGCAATGTTAATCATGTGCAAAAGTATAAAAAAATACATTTAATCAGACCTGCTGGAAAGAAGAAAATAACAAAAATAGGGAAAATATCTCTCTTTAAAATAATTATGAGCAAATATTTTCAATGTCGAAACTAGTACCAAAGAGCTTTCAAACATAACTTGTCTTTTTTTTCTTAATACATCTGTCTCTACAATCACATGTATTATCAAACTGTTCATGATTTGAAAATTACCCAGGTTACAAAATATCAATTATAATGTGTGGTTTAGTGTATTATAATCATGAAATGTTATTGAGAATCTCTGTGTGATGGATAGTGTATTTTAAAAGAAGATAATCAGAGTGAAATGGACATACTTTAATATGAAAATAACACTACTGCTCATGAAATCTCTCTGATCCTGAAAAAGACCCTTGCAGTGTTTATAGAGTAACATACCTCTTTTATAACAATATCCGCCATCATTGTGAGTGGGATAGTGAGACTCAGGGACAATGTACCAATCAATGATGATGTTAAAAAACAACCCCTGAAATACAGATCATCATCGTTATCAATGTTAGTACTTTGTCATTGTCAGCAGTATCCCCTGAAATATATATACAACAATAAATGATCAACATTAACACTATTTGAAAACAGTTTCTTATATTAAATAATATCTGCTAAATCACACAGCAGTATAGATAGTATACACCAAACTCTTTTTTTTAACTACAAAAATGGTATCCTATTGCATATATAGGGTGGTCGGGTGGTGCAGTGGTAACACACTTTCCCTTTCATCAAGCTGTCCGGGGTTCAATTCCCGGAATGGATGTGAAAAGGCAAGAGGTCACCTGCCCAACTAAGTGGGTTTTCCCCTAGGTACCCCTCACACGCTTTCATCTGGGCCAACATGAGTGATTAATATAAGTAGGAAAAACTTGTTTCGCAACTGTTGTAAAATAAATAAAGTTTATAATTGTATTTTATACATAGTAAAGAATAACTGCTTAACACAACCATGCTTATCAAGTATTGGTACATCACATGACATTCTGTTATGTCACTGTACAATATTCTTAATTCCTGGGGAAAGATTCTTAAGTTTCCAATCACAATGCCAATTTGAATACGTAACCACATAAGTAACTATATTTTTTTCTTTTCAATTTGATTCATCTTTTCATATGTTATCTTTTAATGAGCTGAATTATTGTCTTTTTTTTTCAGTTCAGACACCTTATTTACCTCAAAATTACTACACAAGATATAGACTATAATGAGATTTCTTCAATAAAATTATCATGTCTATGATATAACTATACATGTATATGTATTATTGCTGGGAAGAGTTAAGAATCAAAGCTATGTCATAGTTATAACCAACAAGTTCACCAATTGACTTTGTGACAGGCTTTGTACTTTGGCTCATTAAGCTTATAGTGCAGGATGAATATCATCACTATGAAAACCATACCAACAGACAAAAAACAATCTTTACTTTCACGGTAGAAAATCAAGATATAAGATTTCTAGGAACACTTTTCATCAATGAATAATTTCATGTTATTTCATGTTTTAAGTGAGATAAAACCTGTATCTTTATAAAAAAAGTGGGTGTAAATTTACATGTAGGACACATGTATCTCCTCATATTTCCATCACACTTCTGTACTGTCTGTGTTATACTACAGTAACCATCACACTTCTGTACTGTCTGTGTTATACTACAGTAACCATCACACTTCTGTACTGTCTGTGTTACAGTAACCATCACACTTCTGTACTGTCTGTGTTATACTACAGTAACCATCACACTTCTGTACTGTCTGTGTTACAGTAACCATCACACTTCTGTACTGTCTGTGTTATACTACAGTAACCATCACACTTCTGTACTGTCTGTGTTACAGTAACCATCACACTTCTGTACTGTCTGTGTTATACTACAGTAACCATCACACTTCTGTACTGTCTGTGTTACAGTAACCATCACACTTCTGTACTGTCTGTGTTATACTACAGTAACCATCATACTTCTGTACTGTCTGTGTTACAGTAAACATCAAACTTCTGTACTGTCTGTGTTATACTACAGTAACCATCACACTTCGGTACTGTCTGTGTTACAGTAACCATCACACTTCTGTACTGTCTGTGTTATACTACAGTAACCATCACACTTCGGTACTGTCTGTGTTACAGTAACCATCACACTTCTGTACTGTCTGTGTTACAATAACCATCACACCTCTGTACTGTCTGTGTTATACTACAGTAACCATCACACTTCTGTACTGTCTGTGTTACAGTAACCATTACACTTCTGTACTGTCTGTGTTACAGTAACCATCACACCTCTGTACTGTCTGTGTTATACTACAGTAATCATCACACTTCTGTACTGTCTGTGTTACTGTAACCATCACACTTCTGTACTGTCTGTGTTACAGTAACCATCATACTTCTGTACTGTCTGTGTTATACTACAGTAACCATCACACTTCTGTACTGTCTGTGTTACAGCAACCATCAAACTTCTGTATTGTCTCTGTCATACTACAGTAACCATCACACTTCTGTACTGTCTGTGTTACAGTAACCATCACACTTCTGTACTGTCTGTGTTATACTACAGTAACCATCACACTTCTGTACTGTCTGTGTTATACTACAGTAACCATCACACTTCTGTACTGTCTGTGTTATACTACAGTAACCATCACACTTCTGTACTGTCTGTGTTATACTACAGTAACCATCACACTTCTGTACTGTCTGTGTTATACTACAGTAACCATCACACTTCTGTACTGTCTGTGTTATACTCACAGTAACCATCACACTTCTGTACTGTCTGTGTTATACTACAGTAACCATCACACTTCTGTACTGTCTGTGTTACAGTAACCATCACACTTCTGTACTGTCTGTGTAACATTAACCATCACACTTCTGTACTGTCTGTGTTACAGTAACCATTATACTTCTGTACTGTCTGTGTTATACTAAAGTAACCATTACACTTCTGTACTGTCTGTGTTACGGTAACCATCACACCTCTGTACTGTCTGTGTTATACTACAGTAATCATCACACTTCTGTACTGTCTGTGTTACAGTAACCATCACACCTCTGTAGTGTCTGTGTGATACTACAGTAACCATCACACTTCTGTACTGTCTGTGTTATACTACAGTAACCATCACACGTAACCATCACACTTCTGTACTGTCTGTGTTATACTACAGTAGCCATCACACTTCTGTACTCTTTGTGTTACAGTAACCATCACACTTCTGTACTGTCTGTGTTATACTACAGTAACCATCACACTTCTGTACTGTCTGTGTTATACTACAGTAACCATCACACTTCTGTACTGTCTGTGTTATAGTAACCATCACACCTCTGCACTGTCTGTGTTATACTACAGTAACCATCACACTTCTGTACTGTCTGTGTTATACTACAGTAACCATCACACTTCTGTACTGTCTGTGTTATACTACAGTAACCATCATACTTCTGTACTGTCTGTGTTACAGTAAACATCAAACTTCTGTACTGTCTGTGTTATACTACAGTAACCATCACACTTCGGTACTGTCTGTGTTACAGTAACCATCACACTTCTGTACTGTCTGTGTTACAATAACCATCACACCTCTGTACTATCTGTGTGATACTACTGTAGCCATCACACTTCTGTAATGTCTGTGTTACGTTAACCATCACACTTCTGTACTGTCTGTGTTATACTGCAGTAACCATCACACTTCTGTACTGTCTGTGTTACAGTAACCTTCATGCTTCTGTATTATCCGTGTTATACTAAAGTAACCATCACACTTCTGTACTGTCTGTGTTATACTATAGTAGCCATCACACTTCTGTACTGTCTGTGTTATACTACAGTAACCATCACACTTCTGTACTGTCTGTGTTATACTACAGTAACCATCACACTTCTGTACTGTCTGTGTTATACTACAGTAACCATCACACTTCTGTACTGTCTGTGTTACAGTAACCATCACACTTCTGTACTGTCTGTGTTATACTACAGTAACCATCACACTTCTGTACTGTCTGTGTTATACTACAGTAACCATCACACTTCTGTACTGTCTGTGTTATACTACAGAAACCATCACACTTCTGTACTGTCTGTGTTATACTACAGCAAGCATCACACTTCTGTACTGTCTGTGTTATACTACAGTAGCCATCACACTTCTGTACTGTCTGTGTTACAGTAACCATCACACTTCTGTACTGTCTGTGTTATACTACAGTAACCATCACACTTCTGTACTGTCTGTGTTACAGTAACCATCACACTTCTGTACTGTCTGTGTTATACTACAGTAACCATCACACTTCTGTACTGTCTGTGTTATACTACAGTAACCATCACACTTCTGTACTGTCTGTGTTATACTACAGTAACCATCACACTTCTGTACTGTCTGTGTTATACTACAGTAACCATCACACTTCTGTACTGTCTGTGTTACAGTAACCATCACACTTCTGTACTGTATACCATCACACTTCTGTACTGTCTGTGTTATACTACAGTAACCATCACACTTCTGTACTGTCTGTGTTACAGTAACCATCAAACTTCTGTAGTGTCTGTGTTACAGTAACCATCACACTTCTGTACTATTTGTGTTATACTACAGTAACCATCACACTTCTGTACTGTCTGTGTTATACTACAGTAACCATCACACTTCTGTACTGTCTGTGTTACAGTAACCATCACACTTCTGTACTGTCTGTGTTACAGTAACCATCACACCTCTGTACTGTCTGTGTTATACTACAGTAACCATCACACTTCTGTACTGTCTTTTTTACAGTAACCATCACACTTCTGTACTGTCTTTGTTATACTACAGTAACCATCACACTTCTGTACTGTCTGTGTTATACTACAGTAACCATCACACTTCTGTACTGTCTGTGTTATACTTCAGTAACCATCACACTTCTGTACTGTCTGTGTTACAGTAACCATCACACTTCTGTACTGTCTGTGTTACAGTAACCATCACACTTCTGTACTGTCTGTGTTACAGTAACCATCACACTTCTGTACTGTCTGTGTTATACTACAGTAACCATCACACTTCTGTACTGTCTGTGTTACAGTAACCATCACCCTTTTGTACTGTCTGTGTTATACTACAGTAACCATCACACTGATGTACTGTCTGTGTTATACTACAGTAACCATCACACTTCTGTACTGTCTGTGTTACAGTAACCATCACACTTCTGTACTGTCTGTGTTACAGTAACCATCACACTTCTGTACTGTCTGTGTTATACTACAGTAACCATCACACTTCTGTACTGTCTGTGTTATACTACAGTAACCATCACACTTCTGTACTGTCTGTGTTACAGTAACCATCACACTTCTGTACTGTCTGTGTTATACTACAGTAACCATCACACTTCTGTACTGTCTGTGTTATACTACAGTAACCATCACACTTCTGTACTGTCTGTGTTATACTACAGTAACCATCACACTTCTGTACTGTCTGTGTTACAGTAACCATCACACTTCTGTACTGTCTGTGTTACAGTAACCATCACCCTTTTGTACTGTCTGTGTTATACTACACTAACCATCACACTTATGTACTGTCTGTCTGTACTGTCTGTGTTACAGTAACCATCACACTTCTGTACTGTCTGTGTTACAGTAACCATCACACTTCTGTACTGTCTGTGTTATACTACAGTAACCATCACACTTCTGTACTGTCTGTGTTATACTACAGTAACCATCACACTTCTGTACTGTCTGTGTTACAGTAACCATCACACTTCTGTACTGTCTGTGTTATACTACAGTAACCATCACACTTCTGTACTGTCTGTGTTAAAGTAACCATCATACTTCTGTACTGTCTGTGTTATACTACAGTAACCATCACACTTCTGTACTGTCTGTGTTATAGTAACCATCACACCTCTGCAGTGTCTGTGTTATACTACAGTAACCATCACACTTCTGTACTGTCTGTGTTACAGTAACCATCACACTTCTGTACTGTCTGTGTTATACTACAGTAACCATCACACTTCTGTACTGTCTGTGTTACAGTAACCATCACATCTCTGTACTGTCGGTGTCATACTACAGTAACCATCACACTTCTGTACTGTCTGTGTTATACATCACACTTCTGTAACATGTTCTAACCATCACACTTCTGTACTGTCTGTGTTATACTACAGTAACACTTCTGTACTGTCCAGTAACCACACACCTGTACTGTCTGTGTTATACTACCCACACCTCTGTAATACTACAGTAACATTTCATCACACTTCTGTACTGTCTGTGTTACAGTAATAAACCATAATATCCGTATAGTATCTTACCATAACCATAAAAATTCGGACAACACAGTTCCAATGATGCCGTTTAATGCTATATACAACCACTGCTCCCCATCTGGCCACTCAAAGTCCTCAGAACCACTGAAGTGTACAGTAACCATCACACTTCTGTACTTGTTTGTGTTATAAACTATCACACTTCTGTACTGTCTGTGTTATACTACAGTAAATTTCTGTATCACACTAATCTGCATAAAGAACCCTGGCCACAGGAACAGCATACAGAACAAACCCACAAAACCTGGAAGATTGAATAAAAGATGAACACAAGTGATTAGCACCTTTTGATACAGTTAGATATAGTAGACCTAAGCAATAAATTAGACATATCTAGGAAAATGGTCACACATTCAACCTTTATCTAAATACACCAAAACTGTCATCAAGGAACTAAAAAATAAAGTACTATTAAGAATAAAATATTAACTAACTTCGTATTATTCAGAAAATATTGATTATGCCTGTATATATGAACTCAACTTCATAGATATGCCTTGAATTTATTACGTGTGGCCAAACTGGGACAACGACAGAATATTAGGCACATGAATCTAAATAATTATACAGTATGTGTAAAATATTCAAATATTCAAATCAATGCAACAGAAAATAAATCTGAACAAGAATAAATCTTTAGAAAGGTCTAATTCATGTATAGTTCCAACCTTTCCTCCACAAGGATTGTTACAGATTGATGAATCCTTTACAGTAATAATGAGTAAGCCCCCTTCAGATTAATTTTGATGTAAATAATACTCAGTAAGGTACCAACAGACTTCCATTAAGGTCTGTTCCAATGAAACATCTACATGACTCAAGGACCCCTGAATAAATCACTTCCATAGATCATTTTCCTGCCTGTTACTTCTAAACTTGATGCCTGGGGTAGAAGAAAAGTTTTACTGGAAGAGCAGCGAGGTACCTGACAAGGATTTTTCAGACCTTTTGACATTTGCTGTAATGATATCATTAGTGGAATTTACCAAAAAACATTGGAATGTCCAGTTTATCCTCATGATCAACGCGCCGTCGCAGCGAGACGAGGTAAAGTGCATACAGCATAGCGCCACAGAGTGCCCAAAGAGCGCCCACTGGAATATCTGCCTCCAACGACATGTCAGACAAACTCACCATCACTATGCCCCCAATACTGAAAAGAAAGTTTGTGCATACATGACATCATGTCATTCATATGAAAAGGGATGCTTAATCAACACATAATATTAATAATATTTAATGATTAAAACGAATTTTTCAACCATCTGAGTTTTCAACCGATCTGATGAATTTCGTCTTCTTGTCAAACATCCAGATGTCTTATGAAAGTCAATCAGTAAATATTACCTAATAAGTACTGTCACTAGTTTGGACAAAGTAAAACGGTCAGCTCCAGAACTGGGGTAAATAGCAGCACACACCAGGGTAAACAGACCGGACGTGCAGGACAAGACATTCACTACTCCTGCTTCAGTATCCAACAAAGCAAGCTGGTAGGCATAATTACCAAAGAACCACTGTAAAGTAAAGTCAAATAAGACAGAGAACTATCATTGTAAAGAAAGCATTTATTATCACAAATGTTTGTTTCTTTATTGGATTTATCATCAAATGAACAGATGGGTGTTTATTCTATCACAAAATTTCAGTACATTAATATATAATCAACACATGACATCAAACACAATACAATCAACACACACCATCAAACACAATACAATTAACACACACCATCAAACACAATACAATCAACACTCACCATCAAACACAATAGAATCAACACACACCATCAAACTCAATACAATCAACACTCACCATCAAACACAATACAATCAACACACACCATCAAACACAATACAATCAACACTCACCATCAAACACAATACAATCAACACACACTATCATACACAATACAATCAACACTCAAAATAAACACAATACAATCAACACACACCATCATACACAATACAATCAACACACACCATCATACACAATACAATCAACACTCACCATCATACACAATACAATCAACACTCACCATCAAACACAATACAATCAACACTCACCATCAAACACAATACAATCAACACTCACCATCAAACACAATACAATCAACACACACCATCAAACACAATACAATCAACACATGACATCAAACACAATACAATCAACACTCACCATCATACACAATACAATCAACACTCACCATCAAACTCAATATAATCAACACACACCATCATACACAATACAATCAAACCTCACCATCAAACACAATACAATCAACACTCACTATCATACTCAATACAATCAACACACACCATCATACACAACACAATCAACACTCACCATCAAACTCAACACAATCAACACACACCATCATACACAATACAATCAACACTCACCATCAAACTCAATACAATCAACACACACCATCAAACACAATACAATCAACACTCACCATCAAACACAATACAATCAACACTCACCATTAAACACAATACAATCAACACTCACCATCAAACTCAATACAATCAACACTCACCATCAAACACAATACAATCAACACTCACCATCAAACACAATACAATCAACACTCACCATCAAACACAATAGAATCAACACACACCATCAAACACGATACAATCAACACATGACATCAAACACAATACAATCAACACTCACCATCATACATAATACAATCAACACTCACCATCAAACTCAATATAATCAACACTCACTATCATACTCAATACAATCAACACACACCATCATACACAACACAATCAACACTCACCATCAAACTCAACACAATCAACACACACCATCATACACAATACAATCAACACTCACCATCAAACTCAATACAATCAACACTCACCATCAAACACAATACAATCAACACTCACCATCAAACACAATACAATCAACACTCACCATCAAACTCAATACAATCAACACTCACCATCAAACACAATACAATCAACACTCACCATCAAACACAATACAATCAACACTCACCATCAAACACAATACAATCAACACACACCATCAAACTCAATACAATCAACACTCACCATCAAACACAATACAATCAACACTCACCGTCATACACAATACAATCAACACTCACCATCAAACACAATACAATCAACACTCACCATCAAACACAATACAATCAACACTCACCATTAAGCTCAATACAATCAACACTCACCATCAAACTCAATACAATCAACACTCACCATCAAACTCAATACAATCAACACTCACCATCAAACACAATACAATCAACACTCACCATTAAGCAGAAGAGGAAGGCCATTTTGGCAACTTGTTTTATAGTGAGTTTACTCATAGCACGTAGTCTGGCCTCCTCTGCCCGCAAGGAGGCTGAGTATGATAGCCTGGCAATGACAGCATCCTCAGCATAGGTCTCTGTAAAAAAAAATTCAAAGTACACTGAAAAGTTCTCCTTCTGTATCAATCAGTACATCTTCAAAAAGTCCTTCTTGTCAAACTTCTAATCTCTGTAAAATCAATCAAAATCTGGAAAATTTTTCAGAAAGAGTACTGAATTGATTTTATTAAATGGGTTCAGAATCTTGTCATTTTTTTTAAATTTTTTTTTGTAAGGGAAAGGGGTTGGGGTTTGGTTGAGCAAATGTACCTGACTGTGCTGGATTACTAGTAAGGGTTTTCACCCTTATATATTGTATGATTTACCAGTAGGATTTGCATGAACATCATAATAACAAGACATCTCAGAATGACATCTCCTCCTTACCCTTTGTGTAAGAGGACTAAGAATTACACTATTTTCATACTGGTTAATTTCATCACTGTTATCAAACTGGGGATGTACTGGATACATCATTTTTTTTATTTTTGGCAAGAAATATTAAAGTGATATCTAGTTAATAAGATGTGTTCCTTACACACCTGAAAGCTGGCGGACTTCAGAGACTTTGCTAAATCTCACTGATCTGTTGAGAGAGTGATCTGAAAACACAATTTACAAAGTAATTATGGGAGATAACTGAACATATTTTTAAAGAATGACACACAAAATCACACTTATAAATCTTTTCTACTAAACATGTCCTCTATCAGCCAATTGCACACTTTTTTAAAAAATATTATACAGTAATAATCCCATGTCTGATAACAGGCCCTTCCACATGTAATTAAGACAGTATCGTGAGTAAAGTGTCCAAAATATATCATATCATGTTACCTCAATATTCTGCTATGAGTCCAACATCAAAGACAGAGATTTTGTACTGGCACTCATACAATCTGCCAGTTAACCAGTAAATTTGTCCATGTAATATTTCTGCCTTATATGTCATTAATGTAATACCCCCTGGAGTGTTTTTCATTGACTGCGTCAGTTAGAAAGTGACTGAACATGAACAATGATATTATGATATGAACTGAATGGTGCAACAAAATGGCTGCCTCCATTTTATTTTGTCCTTCATATTTTTGAAAATAAAACCTGAAAGATGTTACTTTCTTAAAACAGGATTGAATTTCATGAAACTATATTGTCAAAAAGTTTTAATATTTGCTCACCAAGGCTCAAAAAATAAAAAAAAAACTTTGAAGACTCATTCATCAAATCAAATCTTATAAAACCTATTTAAGATTTTACATTATGTAACTGTTTCCTTATAATTTGACCATTTTCTGACACTATGATTTCAACCCTATCTTTCTCTTATATCCCCCATTTCCATGAATTGCCTATGTGTAAATGGCCCCTTTATTTATGTTTTCTGTTTTTTCCATGTTTCAGAATATGATTAAACTTTTACATGTAATTTTCTAATAACAAATCTATTGTTTTATATAACATCAGTTCCGGTTACAATTCATGGAATACACAACATGAAAAGTATTTATTTTTTCCAATACCATTTCCCTGTAGTCATTTCAGTTATCAATTATTAAATATCAATTAATATTAATTGTTAATAAGAGTCTCAATCTTATACACAGTTTACTTGTTTAACTTCATGGGGTTAATACTCTATGGTTGTTCGATCTGGGGTTGGGCAAATTAACAGGTATTAGATTTTGCACAAGAAACGGTGTCCATGTATACAAGGCCTAACAGAGATTTTCTGGGATTTTTTTTTATTGTAGAAATCTAATTATTTAATTCTGCGCTCTCTTTATTGACAGCAAATGGAGCATAATCAAATTCTCCATAAGTATAACCAACTATTTAAAAGTCACAGTCAGAACCTACTTGCTGATATAGTATTGTAAAATCAAACAATGTAAGGCTCTCACAAGGGGAACACTAAGTCACAGGTATAAACACAAATACTGTAAGTCTCTCACAAGGGGAACACTAAGTCACAGGAATAAACACAAACACTGTAAGTCTCTCACAAGGGGAACACTAAGTAACAGGAATAAACACAAACACTGTAAGTCTCTCACAAGGGGAACACTAAGTCACAGGAATAAACACAAACACTGTAAGTCTCTCACTAGGGGAACACTAAGTCACAGGAATAAACACAAACACTGTAAGTCTCTCACAAGGGGAACACTAAGTAACAGGAATAAACACAAACACTGTAAATCTCTCACAAGGGGAACACTAAGTCACAGGAATAAACACAAACACTGTAAGTCTCTCACTAGGGGAACACTAAGTAACAGGAATAAACACAAACACTGTAAGTCTCTCACTAGGGGAACACTAAGTCACAGGAATAAACACAAACACTGTAAGTCTCTCACAAGGGGAACACTAAGTAACAGGAATAAACACAAACACTGTAAGTCTCTCACTAGGGGAACACTAAGTCACAGGAATAAACACAAACACTGTAAGTCTCTCACTAGGGGAACACTAAGTAACAGGAATAAACACAAACACTGTAAGTCTCTCACTAGGGGAACACTAAGTAACAGGAATAAACACAAACACTGTAAGTCTCTCACTAGGGGAACACTAAGTCACAGGAATAAACACAAACACTGTAAGTCTCTCACTAGGGGAACACTAAGTAACAGGAATAAACACAAACACTGTAAGTCTCTCACAAGGGGAACACTAAGTCACAGGAATAAACACAAACACTGTAAGTCTCTCACTAGGGGAACACTAAGTCACAGGAATAAACACAAACACTGTAAGTCTCTCACAAGGGGAACACTAAGTAACAGGAATAAACACAAACACTGTAAGTCTCTCACAAGGGGAACACTAAGTCACAGGAATAAACACAAACACTGTAAGTCTCTCACAAGGGGAACACTAAGTCACAGGAATAAACACAAACACTGTAAGTCTCTCACAAGGGGAACACTAAGTAACAGGAATAAACACAAACACTGTAAGTCTCTCACAAGGGGAACACTAAGTCACAGGAATAAACACAAACACTGTAAGTCTCTCACTAGGGGAACACTAAGTCACAGGAATAAACACAAACACTGTAAGTCTCTCACAAGGGGAACACTAAGTAACAGGAATAAACACAAACACTGTAAATCTCTCACAAGGGGAACACTAAGTCACAGGAATAAACACAAACACTGTAAGTCTCTCACTAGGGGAACACTAAGTAACAGGAATAAACACAAACACTGTAAGTCTCTCACTAGGGGAACACTAAGTCACAGGAATAAACACAAACACTGTAAGTCTCTCACAAGGGGAACACTAAGTAACAGGAATAAACACAAACACTGTAAGTCTCTCACTAGGGGAACACTAAGTCACAGGAATAAACACAAACACTGTAAGTCTCTCACTAGGGGAACACTAAGTAACAGGAATAAACACAAACACTGTAAGTCTCTCACTAGGGGAACACTAAGTAACAGGAATAAACACAAACACTGTAAGTCTCTCACTAGGGGAACACTAGGTCACAGGAATAAACACAAACACTGTAAGTCTCTCACTAGGGGAACACTAAGTAACAGGAATAAACACAAACACTGTAAGTCTCTCACAAGGGGAACACTAAGTCACAGGAATAAACACAAACACTGTAAGTCTCTCACTAGGGGAACACTAAGTCACAGGAATAAACACAAACACTGTAAGTCTCTCACAAGGGGAACACTAAGTAACAGGAATAAACACAAACACTGTAAGTCTCTCACAAGGGGAACACTAAGTCACAGGAATAAACACAAACACTGTAAGTCTCTCACTAGGGGAACACTAAGTAACAGGAATAAACACAAACACTGTAAGTCTCTCACTAGGGGAACACTAAGTCACAGGAATAAACACAAACACTGTAAGTCTCTCACTAGGGGAACACTAAGTAACAGGAATAAACACAAACACTGTAAGTCTCTCACTAGGGGAACACTAAGTCACAGGAATAAACACAAACAAGTATGGGATGTGTATTTCAACCTGTTGTTAGTATTAAAAGAATGTTAACTGATGAAGTTTTTTCTGCCTTCAGTTTTTAACATCATAGATAGGAGGTTATCCTTGATACTTTCTATATTCACAGATTCAGTCATATGTACAGATACTAACTTGCTCCCGAGTCATCAGATTCTGTACCACTGGTTTTGTCATCAAATTTGATTGGAATAAACACAGGCTCACTCTGAAAATTAAAAAAAATAGCTATTTAAAATATGTTCAGTTCAGTAAGTACAAACTGAGAATTAATATTTCTGTTGTAATTTGATAAAAAAACATTCATTTTTTCCTTTATTCTTTTACCTTATTTAATTACTTATGGATAAAATATAAAAAGATATCATGCATGAATATGCTAAAAGCAATATGATATGAATGTATTATAACTAGATTAAATTCTCACCAATGTGTCAGCATCTGAGTTTCCAGCAGTGCCACTGTCTGCTGTAGGTGTAGAACTAGCTTTCTGTATTTATTGAAGAAAAGAAACAATAATGTGAAAATATGTGTAGTAGAAATATTTGGGGAGTTGGTCCTGATAAGGTAAATATCACATCTCTTTATGAACTCAAGAGATGTTATCATGACAACTTGTGCAGATATCCTAACAAATTAATCACCTTGATAACAACTAAGGTAATTAAAAGTATAACAAATATTTAGGGTGAAGGGGGAGCTTACATGTACAATGTATAGGAAATGTCTCAGCACAACAGAGAGAAGTCAGTATTTTAAATAATGGCAAGCCTACGATAATTAAACCACTATTGAAAATCAATATTAAGCAATCAAATTAAATTCAAAAGTCATTAAAAAAAGTCTTTGGAATTTTGTACACGTTCCCAACCACAATTCTTTTGATGAAGAAGTTGAATTCTGTTTCTTTTTCTTTCACACGAGATTTCAATGATAAGAAAATTAATCAATAGCAATTGTAAAAATACAGCACCACTACATATCTAGATGGTGTTGTATTGTTACAATGAAATACATTTTAGTATTAACATTACTAGTGATAATAAAAATAAAACAAGATTGAGACCTAGCGGCCTTGACGGTCACCAGAGATAAACAATATTGAATATAAAGGTTATAGGATAGTTATCAAGTGTCATGAAACAGAAATTGTGACACTGAATGTAGTAAGCCAGTGTCAATACACGTATACCATCAAAACTGTTACCTTAAACTAATAATTCTTACAAAGTTATTTCCGTAGTGAAATACTCCAACGTTATCTCAGAAATCCAATTTTTTTCTATGAAAATTACAGCAAAGTCTGAAAAAAGCATTCCTCTGGAGGAAGAAATGTGCAACTCATTTCATTTTGGTAATTAAAGCACCTTAGGATGCTTCCATTTATGAAGAGTATTTAATTCTTCCCCTCAGGCTCCCTTGGGGTGAAGACTGTATAATTCACAATTTTGGTTCATCTAAGGCCAGGGAAGCTCTATGTAAAATTTCATTGAAATCGGATCAGGGCTTTTTGAGAAGAAGTCAAAAGTAATAAATTGTTTACACAAAACATGACATCGGATAATGGGTATTAGAATAACAAAAACTAAATATGGAAATGAAATCAATTAATTGATACCAAAATTCTGAAGGTGATGATTAAATTCAAACTAGTATTTTATACTTTTATCTGTGGTATTCAGCTGCAGAAAGTAACAGATTCAAAATTTTTGATAAACATTCATTTCAATATTTTACAATGTTTGCAACACAAGAAACAAAACTGTCTTGCAGTTACCATATGAAACAAACTCTAATCGATATTTGATTGATTATGTGTAATGGAATGTTGATAATAAAGTTGGAAGTAATTCCCATCACTAACTTGCATGTACTATATATTTACACTATAGAACCTTTTATATTTATTGGTATGTTGAGATTTATCGTGTTGAAATACTTACAGCATAGAGACTTACCACGTTACCATATTTACACTGATATCGCCAGGGCTCCCACACAATAAAACCCACTAAATATAACACAAACATGGTCGTCTTGGAATAAGTTGTGAAAAATGGCTTATTGAAGTGCTTCTCCTTGAACAGGTACTGAAATCAAAACAAACAGACATGTTAATTAAAAACATTTAATTATAACTGACACTGGTAATAATAGCTGCAATATACTACTCCACTAAACAGAGGAGGGATTCTGTTGATTATTTTGACATTTGACAATTTCATACATCAAGTAATAAATCTGAAGGGTTGAAATATATAAGAAACAGATATATTCCTTTAAAGTCAAGAGTCAAATCTCATTTTATTTATTTCAGTCAAACACCTACTCTCAATGGTCCCCAGACAGCTTTCAAAAATTCTATAAGAAATCATATAAGAATCCCTTCAGTAATTCAAAGACTGAACATTGAACTCAATTCAAAATAAATGTTGTAAATTATAATAATGCTTGTGCAATTATCTTGTGTTTATACATAAGCCGTAATTGGAAATATATATGCAACATGATATACATATCAAAAATTTACCTGATTGGTGTATTCAATTTATTCTTATTTACAATGATGATATCAGCTTCAATAAAGATAAATGTTCTTGAAAAAGATATCTTTTACCTCTGTAAGTTCTGAAGATGCAACCCAGATGAGATCTACAATGAGCAGAACCACAATGCCAAGGACAAGGCGCTGGGGCCTTGTCAACCCGTGAAGTCCAAACATTTCCAAGGGCAGTCACTCACCCCTGTATACCAAACATTCCTGAGCACAAGCTTTCTCTTACTCACATGGTGTAAGGTGGAAAGTTTACCTACATAAAATATTTGAGAATAGATGATGCAAAATTTATATGATCATATAAATCCGGTTTTCTATATTTGAAATAAAGCTAATATACTGCTGAAATAGAATTGAAGAATCGTGTATAAAAAAGTTGATGTCTAATTCCTGTGATATTTATCCAGTAATAAGCCAATGTCTGGTTATTAGCAAATCAATATCTATTTATGGCTGTCTCACACTGAGGCAGAGGTATTCATTGGTCTTTGGAATTGATACAGTGATGCTAAGGCCTAACTAAATATTTATTTCAGTCTCAACTCTGAAAATTTTGATGAGATTTTGCTATCGATTTCCGGTAGTTACAAGACCCGTTAAAATATTCATTCAGTACACTGTTCCAATTCCATTTTGGAAATTGTTAAAAAAGATATCATGATAGATCAGTAAAAAATATATCTCAAGTTACCAGAATGACCACCCCGTAAGTATGTCAACGGCGAAACAGATAAACAAGACCTTCTGATTACAGGTGTTCATTTCTAAGATATGCTTTATATTTTAACGCGGTTTACATCCAACATTACGACCTTTCGGTCTTTCAGCGGACGAGATGCTTTATATGAGATGGGTCGCTCATATATATACACAAACTCACACTAAAACATATATACGAGCTATCATAACATTTAACAAACTGCTGTATTCTGACCTTATTGAGGCCTGTTTATCAATTGTTGTTTACAAACAAGCTCAAAACGTCATAACTTGAAATAACATCAATTGATGTGTAGTATGTTAAATAATCAATAAGCATATAACAATCAAATGACGCAATGTGTTTTTTTTTTTTTTTTTAGAATAGAAATACCTTATATTACGATTTCAGATCTGAAGATTGAAAGATTGTCATCCAACCGGAAGTTGTTCTCTACCATCGTATTGTACGTTAAGAGAGAATATTCAGTCTCTGAACCGAACCAAACGAAAATGACAACACTGTATCTTCATTTCTCACTTTCTCAGTCATTAAGTTATATCATTAGATCTTATTTATCAATAGTTTTAATTAGAATTGAAATCAAGAAGAAGGTTGCGATCGCTTCTCTGATTTGTATAGTCTGTATAGAACTATGTTGATCGAGATATGGTCGAAGTGATATAACATTTATATTTATCTGCAGTAATGAATCATAGCCGCTAATTGAAAACTCTTTCGTAAGAACAAGTGTAATAACATAAAATATGATGATTATGCAGAGAAATCAAATCAAAACAGCATGCGTGTACATTTTGTGGCTGACATACTATATGAAGATAAGCAATGTTGTGAGAGCAAAGTCGTGGTGGCCGAGTGGTTAAGGCGTTTGACTCGAAATCAAATGGGCTATGCCCGCACAGGTTCGAATCCTGTCCACGACGGAGTTTTCTTTTTTATCTGTTCACATTATGTTATCTGTTTTCATGTTACATCACAAGATTGTTTTATAATTACTAACCGTATTAACAACGGTTTTCATATTATTGTACTATATGTTCATATTTCAGCGCAGAGTATTAAGTTAAATGTTGATTTTTGAAAGCACCTTATCGAGCAGTGATTTCAAAAGACGGTTTATGGATTCCGTACAACATACATTGTATGTATACCACGATATCTAGGTAGTTGGATATTTTCCATTCCATACGAGCACATTCATTTGGTTTCGAGACATCTGCGGGATTTTATTAATAGAGCATCCTTTCTGTTAACCTTGTTGATCATCTATAACGATATTGAAAACACGATAAACATGCGTGTTAACAAGAAATCCAAATCAATGAACAAATATAAGGAGGACGGAATTATTGGTAATAATATCTAACTGTGCCCCTTAGTTGATGGACTTCGTATTCATACGTATACGAGACTGCCTTGATCGAAGAGCTTATCAAAACAGGTCTCAAAGACCTTACAAAATCATTTAATTTCATGTTCATCTATTTAAATTTCCCTATTGTGAATTTTCCATTTCAGGATAGCAACATTCCTGCGTCCATCACCTCTGGAGTAAAAATGCCGTAGTTGATTCGGAATTCAAGTGCCTTCTCCCAATTATTACGATTTTCGTTTATTTATTAATATGAACTGATCTGTCATAAAGTGGTCGTAATAATCCTTTCAACCATCTTTGACGTTGACTTGACCAGGATTAAGACACTCGTTACATGAGTTAATTATGCCACAATTTCTCACCAAAGATTAACTGCATTATTTCCACTACCACTATCTCTGAATAACTGATCCACAGATTCTTCATAACCTAGAACGTCATCAAGGTGGCGAGCCAATATGCCATTTCCAGCAAAGTAATCTAGGGAATTTCTCAGCCTTTTTTTATTGTCGTTTCTCGTGCCATTTTCCTAGACCATTAGTGGTCTCAGCCGTAACCTGCATGTCCCGTTTAAAATCATTCGAATAGAGGCACTGATCAGAATATACACATGTACCTGACGCTGTTCAAAAATTGACTGATATATGAAAATTACGAAATTTAATGAGTTGTAAGTCCGCTGCACCTTCCTGTCTAGATTTTAACCTTTCTTTTGATATCTTTGCTTTTTCTTTAGTCGCCTTATATGCTTCAAGATGGAGGCCCTTATTATCACCGACGAGTCCTAGAAGGTCGAAACAACGGTATGATATAGTTTAAATCATTATTTAGCTATACTGTATTTAACGTTAAATTTGTATTGTAAAATGCTATTCACTTAAGTCTGCTATATCCGATTCTAAACTAGTATTGAAAGGTGCAATTCCTGAATCTTTTTTTTTTTTCTGTCTTGCTGTGATCAGCTAAAAAATATCCGGATGTAGATTTGATACGATAGTGTCTGAAAAGACGAACTTTTTGTTCAGATCCACCTTCATTTCCCGGTTTTTGTATACGTGCGCGGTTTGTTAAGTTGTTCTCTACATCTCCAGAATGGTTGAACACAAACTTGAATTATTAGTTTGTTTTTCATTGTTTTGCGACATAGTTGTGAAGAACATTGTATTTACAAGGAATACAATCTTTTGCTAACAGCTACACGGCTGTGAGGAATTATCTCATACTTGTGAGTAATACGTTTTCACACTGCTACATGGCTGTGGGTAGTGATATCTCACATTTGTAAGCAGTACACTTTTTTCACGCTGTTACATGTTTTGGAGGAATGTAATCTCATTTTTGTGAGGAATACAGAATAATTTTTACACTGCTAAATGTTATGGGAAATGAAATTCTATAATTATGAGGAATTCAGTTCTTTCACACTGCTACATGGTTGTTGGTAAAAACTCATACTTGTGAGGAATGCACTTTTTACGCGGTAACATGTTTGGAAGGAATGTCATCTCATTTCTGTGAGCAATACGAATTGTTTTCACATCGCTAAATGTTAGAGGGTATGATATTTCATAATTGTCAGCAAGGAATACAATATTTTCATATTGCTGTCTGGTTGTGGGGAATTATTTCTCATACTTGTGAGGAATACAATCTTTTCACATTGCTAAACGTTTGTGGGCAACAGTATCTTATACTGGTGAAGAATACAATAGTTTCACAGCTACATGTTTGTGGGGAACAATATCTCATACTTCTGAGGAATACAATGCTTTCACATTGCTACACGTTTGTGGGGAATATCTCGGACATATATGTAATTGTGAGGAATACACTTTTTTCACATTGCTACACGATTGATGGGAGTGATATCTCCTATTTATGAGAAATACGTTTTCACACTGTTTCATGGTTGTGAGGAATGATTGCTGATATTTGAGAGGAACACATTGTTTTCACACTTCTGATGGTTGTGAGGAATACTATCTCAAACTTGTGGGGAATACAATGTTTTCAAACTGCCACTTGGTTGACGGGAGCGATGTCTCATCTTTTTTAAGGAATTAGATGTTTTCACATTGCTACGTAATTGTTGTGTGGCATATCTTTTTTTGTCAGTACCGTGTTTTCTCATTGCCAATTGGATGTGGGGAATGTTATCTCATATCTGTAAAAAAATTATTTCACTCTCTAAAAGTTTGTGGGGAATAATATCTCATACATGTGAGGAATGCAATGCTGTAACGCTGCTGAACGTTTGTGGGGAAAGATATTTCATAATTAGATGTCTGGAAAACGAAGTTTCCTATTTTTTTCTTTCCTGTTTTGCTCGTTAGTTTCTGCTCGAATCTGAAATTCGATTACCAATATTTGGTTTGGACTGGATATAGAGCAATTATCTATACTGAATTTAGTTGATCCGATCAGGTCTCTAGGCATTTTTCAAGAACTTTCCAAGCATGCTTACAAAGCTGACAATGGAAATTATGTCATTCCCTGAAATGTGAATTACATAATTAATGAACTCAAATTGCTTAAGGATGAAAAGTTAAATACCACGTGTATTGTGTATGTATTTAACTTTCAGGATTTAGTAACGAAAGAAAAAATATAGTAATCAAATTAGAAGTTAAAGTAAATATTTCTCATACACATACGTATACATGCATTTTGTTATCTACATTGTAATTACACTACATTGCTTTCACATTATTCGCCCTAGTCCGTCGGTAACATGCAAATTGACAAAGCCAACAAAATAAAGGCGCAATCATTTATTTCAATAACTAATTATGAAACGGTATTACAATGACAAATGGCAACTCAAGAGCTGCAAGACAGCTACGTCTAATCTACCAAATTATCGTCACTTCCTCTAACAAAATGGTGCAGCCATACATGGAGTGGTTTAAAGAGAGGGCAAACCTATAGAGTTTTATTAAGTAAAAGATCAATCCCGAAATATTGTTTATACTATAAATATAAACTAGAAATCTTGATGTAATTTGTTAATTCTGAAAGTAACAACTAGGATGTTTATGTTAAGCTACATGCTAGTGAGGAACAATATCTCACACTTGTGAAGAACACAATATTTCACACTGTTTGGTATTTGTAGAAAACAATATTTCATACTTGTGAGGAATACATTTTTTCACACTGCTAAATGTTTGTGGGGAACAATATCTCACACTTGTGAGGAATACAATGTTTTCACTCTCCAAAACATTTTTAGGAACAATATCTTACACTTGTGAGGAATACAATGTTTGCACACTCCAAAACAGTTTTAGGAACAATATCTCACACTTGTGAGGAATACAATGTTTTCACTCTCCAAAACATTTTTAGGAACAATATCTTACACTTGTGAGGAATACAATGTTTGCACACTCCAAAACAGTTTTAGGAACAATATCTCACACTTGTGAGGAATACAATGTTTTCACTCTCCAAAACATTTTTAGGAACAATATCTTACACTTGTGAGGAATACAATGTTTGCACACTCCAAAACAGTTTTAGGAACAATATCTCACACTTGTGAGGAATACAATGTTTTCACTCTCCAAAACAGTTTTAGGAACAATATCTCACACTTGTGAGGAATACAATGTTTTCACTCTCCAAAACATTTTTAGGAACAATATCTTACACTTGTGAGGAATACAATGTTTGCACACTCCAAAACAGTTTTAGGAACAATATCTCACACTTGTGAGGAATACAATGTTTTCACTCTCCAAAACAGTTTTAGGAACAATATCTCACACTTGTGAGGAATACAATGTTTTCACTCTCCAAAACATTTTTAGGAACAATATCTTACACTTGTGAGGAATACAATGTTTGCACACTCCAAAACAGTTTTAGGAACAATATCTCACACTTGTGAGGAATACAATGTTTTCACTCTCCAAAACAGTTTTAGGAACAATATCTCACACTTGTGAGGAATACAATGTTTTCACACTCCAAAACAGTTTTAGGAACAATATCTCACACTTGTGAGGAATACAATGTTTTCACACTCC